TGGATTTTACTTTTATTCAGCCATCTTGATTGCGGGCCTTTGTCGGAGGCAAGTGGAGGGTGTAAAATAATGTTTTCATTTCTCATATCTTGCTGTCTATCAACTTCTATCAGTTAAAATAATAAATTGTGATATCTACCATGTGACACCAACGCCTATTTTTTCTGTCATTATAAACCTGCAAATGCTCGATCTTTTATACCCTTTCCTTAGATTTTATCATTTTACTGCTGATGTCCATTTAACTGATTCGCTCGTCTCAGATCAATGATAAAGTGACAATGGATTTATCTTTTATAGAAATATGAGCATTTAATTCCATGCAGGCGTTGAGATATTTATTATTTAAACTTAGCTCATTTATCTTGACTCTTGTGAAAGTTATCAAATAGTTTCAGATTCGTAGTGAGCCCACAGCCCCAAAGTTATCAAAAATGGTTAGAGATTCTAAGTTCAAAAAAAGAAAACAACGGGTGCAATGAAGCATGATAAAAGCGGTTGTGAGTGATTGAAAATTAGGAAGAATTACATGCATATCATTCAATTCTTATTATTTACATATCAGTCACCTGAATTCTAATTGTTCACATATATGCCGCCTTAACCAAGCATGAAGAGTTGTATTTCACCAATTAAAAATAGAAAGTGATATTTTCTATGTGATGAGATAGATTTGAGTGCTATAAATATAAAAGATAGGTTTGTGTTGGATGTGCAAATACATAAGAATTTGGTGGTATGTACGTAAATACCCCTAAAAATTATGAAAAATGACAGTTTGCATTAGATAAATTATTGGATTAGCATTTTATAAGAAAAACAACGATTCAATTATGTACTGATGATTTAAGCTTACATAATATACTAGAAGCAACAGTTACCAATTAAATAAATAAATAAAAACCGAAGAAGAGGAAGAGGAGCAACAGGAAGCTGGAAGACTTCGTCGTGAAGAGAACGGGGAAGAAAAGCTGTTAAAACAAAACACAAATTACAAACCACGACGCCAAACATTTTACATTAGCAGCATATGAATTTTTACATTTTACAGACACCCCCTCCATCATGTAGCACATATAGCTAATTTTCCTTTAATTTCTATAGCACAAAATCAAGAAAAAGCTGATTCAACACTGTTTTCCATGATCGAAACACGGAATATCGATCATTTTCCTTGAAGAAGAAACCAAGAAATATCAACTGTACAACCAAAAACTAGAACAAAAACAACTCTATGACAACATACTGAGAAGAGAAAATCTGACATGCAGTCCAATTCTTCCCTTCTCTATCTCCAATTTCGCACCAGTCGCCACCCAATATCCGGGACTGTCTTCCGGTCCCCTGCACCTTTCTCTCGTATCCACATATTTCTTCAACTTCTTCCCCACCCCATCCGACGGCGGGCCCCCCACCAAAACAC